CAACCTCTGCCTCCTGGGTTCAGGCAATTCTCCTTCCTCAGCCTCCAGAGTAGCTGGGATTACAGGCACGCGCCACATGCCCAGCTAATTTTTTGCACCTTTAGTAGAGACGGGGTTTCACCATGTTGACCAGGATGGTCTCGATCTCTTGACCTTGTGATCCACCCGCCTTGGCCTCCCAAAGTGCTGGGATTACAGGCTTGAGCCACCGCGCCCGGCCTCAATATGGTATTTCTTAATTTTATGTTCAGATACCTTTCTGTTAGCTGCTATATACCTAACAAATGTTTTCTTGTATTTATTAAAAATGTTTAGATTATTAGAGGGCCAGGTGCGGTGGTTCACACCTGTAATCCCAACACTTTGGGAGGTCGAGGCAAGTGGATCATGAGGTCAGGAGTTTGAGACCAGCCTGACCAACTTGGTGAAAACATATCTCTACTAAAATACAAAAATTAGCTGGGGGTGGTGGCCCTCACCTGTAATCTCAGCTACTTAGGAGGCTGAGACAGTAGAATCGCTTGAACTGGGAAGTCGAAGGTTACACTGACCCAAGATCATGCCACTGCATTCCAGCCTGGAAAACAGAGTGAGAGTCTGTCTCAAAAATAAATAAATAAATAAATAAATAATAAAGTAAATTAATAGAGATGGGTCTCACTATGTTTTTCAGGCTGTTCTCAAACTCCTGGGTCCAAGTGATCCTCTCATCTTGTCTGCTTAAAATGTGGGGATTACAGGCCTGAGCCACCACGCCCAGCCCAAATATTTTCTTTCTTTTTTTTTTTCAGGGGACAAAGTCTTGATCTTGTCACCCAGGCTGTACTGCAATGGCAGGATCTCAGCTCACTGCAATCTCTGCCTTTTGAGTTCAAGCAATTCTCCTGCCTCAGTCTCCTAAGTAGCTGGAATTACAGCTTTCCACCACCACGTCCAGCTAATTTTTGTATTTTTACTAGAGATGGGGTTTCACCATGTTGGCAAGGCTGGTCTCGAACTCCTGACCTCAGGTGATCTGCCCACCTCGACCTCCCAAAGTGCTGGGACTACAGGAGTGAGCCACCACACCCAGCCTTAAACTTCTATTCTTTATAAATCACCCAGAGTGTGTATTCTGTTATAGGAGGAGAAAACATAAAAGAGTTTAGATGTTTTACTCTTATTTAATCAAGACAACCTGAGTCACATGTAGAAGACATTCTTCCTTCTCAGGATTCTGCAACGGCCCTATAACCAGTAGAAAAAAGGAGATGGCCACGATTTTTGTTTACACTTTTATTCAGGCTCCACTGAAGGACCTTCAGAGGTGTTGGGGTTGAATATAAACCCTCTGGCTCCTCCTATGCTCTGTTAGCCTAGCAAGTGGGTGGGAAAGACTGTACCAAGAGTGGGTATTTCAAGAAACAAAAGTATGTCCTGGCTGGGTACAGTGGCTTAAGCCTGTAATTCCAGCACTCTGGGAGGCCAAGGTGGGCGGATCACCTGAGGTCAGGAGTTCGAGATTCCTGTGTTGCCCAGGCTGGAGTACAGTCATGCGATCTCGGCTCACTACAACCTCTGCTTCTCAGGTCCAAGTGAGTCTTCTGCCTCAGCCTCCCAAGTAGATGGGATTACAGGTGCCTGCCACTATGCCCAGCTAATTTGTGTATTTTTAGTAGAGAAAGGGTTTTACCATGTTGGTCAGGCTGTCTCGAATTCCTGACCTCAAGCTATCCACCTGTCCGGCCTCCCAAAGTGCTGAGATTACAGACATGAGCCACTGCACCTGGCTCATACTGCCTTTTCAGTGAATAGTGTTTCTTTTTTTTAAATCAATTTTGTCATCTTTTTTAGATTTTCTTTATGAAATTACTCATATAAAGAAAAATGCAGGCCAGGCATGGTGGCTCACGCCTGTAATCCTAGTACTTTGGGAGATGGATGGATCATTAGAGGTCAGGAGTTCGAGACTCGCCTGTCTAACATGGTGAATCCCTGTCTTTACTGAAAATAGAAAAAAATTAGCCAGGCATGGTGGTGCATGCCTGTAATCCCAGATATGCCTGTAATCCTCCAGAGGCTAAGGCAGGAGAATCACTTGAACTCGGGAGGTGGAGGTTGTAGTGACCTGAGATTGTGCCACTGCACATTCCAGCCTGGGAAACACAGCGACACTCCATCTCAACAAAAAAGAAAAAAGCAGTTAACCTAAAAAAGGACGCATTCATCTTATTTTTTTTTTTTTTTTTTTTTTTTTTGAGACAGAGTTTCGCTTTTATTACCCAGGCTGGAGTGCAATGGCGTGATCTCGGCTCACCGCAACCTCCGCCTCCTGGGTTCAGGCAATTCTCCTGCCTCAGCCTCCTCAGTAGCTGGGATTACAGGCATGTGCCACCATGCCCAGCTAATTTTTTGTATTTTTAGTAGAGACGGGGTTTCACTATGTTGACCAGGATGGTCTCGATCTCTTGACCTCGTGATCCACCCGCCTCGGCCTCCCAAAATGCTGGGATTACAGGCTTGAGCCACCGCGCCCGGCCCATCTTATGTTCTTGTAAGTCCAAAATTAAAAACTACATGAGAAAGATTTAAATAGCACTACCATAGTTAGCAAATAAAAATATAGTGTGCCCACTTAAATTTAAATTTCAGATAAACTCTGGATTTTTAAATTATAAGCATATCTCAGACAGTATTTGGGTTCCAATTATACTAAAAAATTATTCAGTGTTTATCTGAGTAGTCTGTATTTAATCTGACAGCCCTAAAGTACTGTAATAGCTCAGTGGTTCTTAAACTCCAGCTTGTATTAAAGTGCTTATTAAAACAGGGCTGGCCAGGTGCAGTGGCTCATGCCTGTAATTCCAGCATTTTGGGAGGCCAAGGCGGGTGTATTTGTTTGAGGTCATCAGGAGTTCAAGACCAGCCTAACATGGTGAAACCCCATCTCTACTAAACATACAAAAATTAGCTGGTAGCCGGGCGTGGTGGCTCAAGCCTGTAATCCCAGCACTTTGGGAGGCTGAGGCGGGTGGATCACGAGGTCAAGAGATCGAGACCATCCTGTTCAACATGGTGAAACCCCGTCTTTACTAAAAATACAAAAAATTAACTGGGCATGGTGGCACGTGCCTGTAATCCCAGCTACTCCGGAGGCTGAGGCAGGAGAATTGCCTGAACCTAGGAGGCGGAGGTTGCGGTGAGCCGAGATCTCGCCATTGCACTCCAGCCTGGGTAACGAGTGAAACTCCATCTCAAAAAAAAAAAAAAAAAAAAAAAAATTAGCTGGGAATGGTGACGTGCACCTGTAAACCTAGCTACTTGGGAGGCTGAGGCAGGAAAATCGCTTGAACCCAGAAGGCAGAAATTGCAGTGAGCCGAGATCGCACCACTGAACTCCAGCCTGGGCAACAGAACGAGACTCTGTCTCAAACCAAACCAAACCAAACAACAACAACAAAATCCCAGGGCTGACCCAGTCCTGAGTTTCTGATTCAGGCAGTCTGGGTGGCACTTTGTAATTTACATTTGTAACATGTTCCCAGTTGCTGCTGCTGCTTGGGGACTGCGCTTCGAGCTAATGTAATAGCTAAGAAATAGCGTTCATAGCCGGGCGCGGTGGCTCAAGCCTGTAATCCCAGCACTTTGGGAGGCCGAGGCGGGTAGATCATGAGGTCGAGAGATCGAGACCATCCTGGTCAACATGGTGAAACCCCGTCTCTACTAAAAATACAAAAAATTAGCTGGGCATGGTGGCGTGTGCCTGTAATCCCAGCTACTGAGGAGGCTGAGGCAGGAGAATTGCCTGAACCCAGGAGGCGGAGGTTGCGGTGAGCCGAGATCGCGCCATTGCACTCCAGCCTGGGTAACAAGAGTGAAACTCCGCCTCAAAAAAAAAAAAAAAAAAAAAGAAATAGCGTTCATTTAGAAGTGGCTCTTGTATCAAAGTAGTATCAGATGAAACCAAATGAGGAGATAGTTTATTTATTTTTTGAGATGGAGTCTTGCTCTGTCACCCAGTCTGGAGTGCAGTGTCACACTCTCCTCTCACTGAAACTTTCACCTCCTGGGTTCCAGCGATTCTCCTGCCTCAGTCTCCGGTGTAGCTGGGAGTATAGGCATGAACTACCATTCCTGGCTTTTTTTTTTTTTTGGAAATGGAGTTGCACTTTGTTGCCCAGGCCACAGTGTCATGGTGCAATCTTGGCTCACTGCAATCTCCGACTGCCGGGATCAAGCAATTCTTCCACCTGAGCCTCCCAAGTAGCTGGGATTACAGGCACCCACCATCATGCCCAGCTAATTTTTGTATTTTTGTAGAGAACAGGTTTCACCATGTTGGCCAGGCTGGTCTTGAACCCCTGACCTCAGGTGATCCAGCCGCCTCGGCCTCCCGAAGTGCTGGAATTACATGCGTGAGCCACCGTGCCCAGCCATGCCTGGTTAATTTTTTTGTATTTTAAGTAGCGATGGGATGTCACTATTTTGGCCAGGCTAGTCGCAAACTCCTGACCTCAAATGAGCCACCTGCCTCAGCCTCTCAAAGTGCTGGCATTACCAAGCCAGGCCCAAGGAGATAACTATACTTTCTGATTGAAACAGAGGGTGGTTAAAAAAAAAAAAATCGAGCATTATTTTCTAATTCTTTTATTTTTATTTCTTTTGAGACAGAGTCTCACTCTGTTACCCTAGCTGGAGTGCAGTGGCACGATCTCGGCTCACTGCCACCTCTGCCTCTCTGCTTCAAGTGATTCTCCTGCTTTGGCCTCCCAAGTAGCTGGGATTATAAGCGCCTGCCACCACACCCGGCTAACTTCTATATTTTCCAGTAGAGTCAGGGTTTCACCATGTTGACCGGGCTGGTCTTAAACTCCTTGTCTCAAACGATCCGCCCTCCTCTGCCTCCCAAAGTGCTGGGATTACCGGAATGAGCCATTGCGCCCAGCCAAAATGAGCTCCTTTTTAAGCTATTTAATTTTCTGGTTCCAGCCAGTTTTTCAATTTTTGTCACATTTTTCCAGTCTTTCGCAGTTGCGAGCAGTGGGAAAAGCAGCCCCCGCTTTTTAGTGTTAAGTATGAAGGTTCTGGATAAACACGTCAAAAGAAAAAACCGTGAAACAACAAAAGGGAAGAAACTAAAGCCAATTCAACTCTAGGTCAGCTATTAACTAGCGGAAGTATGTTAATAATCGTCACTAGGGCAAACACGCCTGGAATCAAGACCCAGAGCCTGAGGGTCCCAGGCTGCCCGCAGAAGCGGACTCGCTGGAACACACCGCAAAGATCGCTGCGCAGGCGCAGAAAGCGGCCGCGCAGGCGACGGGGCGTACTGCGCATGCGCACCTGCCTGGAGATAAGTGGCCTAATTTTCACGCCCTCTGGTTCCGTCCCCTGAGCGACGCGCCCCGACGGTGTTGCCATGGGGACCTAGCGGCCTCAGCCATCCTGTGGCTGCGCAGGTGGCCTCGTGGACTCTTTGGGCCATGCGGCGGCGAGAGTACGAGCGTCATAACTTCCAGTAAGAACGGTCAGTATGGCCGGGAAGCAGTGGAGCTTGGGTCGCTGCCTGCATTTCTTCGGGCTGGCCGTCGTCTTCGACACAGTGGGCTTGGGGATGCTGCTCACTGGCGTCTTCTTGGACCTGGCCTTCTACGACATGCTGGTCTACCTGGGCTCCAGCACCATCTTTCTCAGCCTCCTCTGGTGGGCTTCCTGGTACACTGGCAACATCGAGCTGCCCTCGGAAGTGGCTTTGAAGGACTCCTGTATGCCCTCTGCCTGCGTCGTGGAGGCTCTGCGCCAGAGCGCCAGCCACCGCCTTTCTGTGAGCATCCAGAACATCTCCGCCAACTGGCTGATGCAGCCGCGGCGCCGTCGGAGGACCCTTCGGAAAGAGGCGTTCCTGACCATGCCTGTCTCCGTCCACGTAGAAGAACAGCTGGGAAAAAAGAGCAGGGACAAAGATGGAGAGGAAGGGGTCAAGGGGAGCGATGCCTCTCAAGACTTTGGCAAAGAAGATCTGGGTCCCAAGCCTGAAGGTGACAAAAATTCAGAGATCGTTGGCTCCCCAGTCTCGGATGCCCAGCCGCCGTCCATCGAGCAACTGCCCCCCACCCATCCAGAGTGGCCCGTGTTGCCTCTTCACCAGCCTGTGCCTTCAGTGCCTTCCATCCTCCAGACCTCTAAGAGCCTGATTGTAGCTCCCTCCATCTCTGCTACACACCCTGTAGCCATTTGTACTTCTGAGAGCCGGCCTGTGGTTTCTTTGGCCTCTAACAGCCAACCTGCTGTCCCCATGGCCTCTCAGAGCCACCTCCAGGTCCCTGCGGTCTCCCTGAGCCAGCCCCTGGTGCTTGTGACCTCACAGGACTCGCTGCAGAATCTTCCTAGGGCCTCTCAAACTCAGCCTCCACCACCTAGTTCGATTTCTGTAACCCAGTCACTGGCTACCCAGGTCCATGTAGGGCAGTCTCTATCTGCCCAATCCTTTCCTATTGTGGATCCACAGGCCTCTCAGGCTGTCGAAGACCTGCACGCCCTACTTCAAATGCAGCAGGCCATCCCAAGCACATCTGTAGTGCAGGAGAGTTCCTTAAGTCAATTTTCAAGTGTCCTGAAGGTTCCTGAGATGCCAGTTGCTCAGGCTGTTGAGGCTCCACGACTACTACCCAGCCAGAAACCATGTCAGGAACCATCTGCCCTGGCCACCACATCATCTGCCTCTGAGGCTTCAGCTTCAGCCACTGATACCCAGCGGTCCGTCTCCACTGTCAATGTTCCAGCCTCCGTGGCAGCGAAGAAAAGTCACCCTCTCTACTAGGGACCAGACCCCAGCCATTGGAGTGGCTGCTCAAGCCGTTGCCACGTAAGTCCCTTTGGAAGAAGAGTCACCTATATTTGTCCTTAATGGATTCCCCTTTTGTATTCTGGTGGCTTCTTCAACCCCTCTTGTACAAAAATATAAAGTTAGTGGAAGCCAAGTGGCCCTTGTTTGGGGATTAGCCATTTTGGACATTGGTAGGTTTTTAAACCTAGTTACTCTGCATGGATGAATGTTACTAAGGTTTTGCCTACTCTACCAGATAATGAAATCTGTTCTTTTTTATTTAGGCTTGAGAGAGAGTGTGTGGTGATTATTTTCTTTTGGGAGCTATTAATATAATATCTGGGAGTGGGTGGGGGATTTGGGTTCTGCAGAGTTTCTGAAGCGATGATTTCAGATGGTACAGGGACCCAGCATTAAATGCCATTGAGTCCTAGGGAGGGAATGTTACTGGCTTTTCAAATCTTTTTTAGTGCTTTTTATCTTATCAGGAAGAAAGTCTTTTGTTTGGCGTTAGTGACTTTTTTTTTTTTTTTTTTTTGAGTTGGAGTCTTGCTCTTGTCTCCCAGGCTAGAGTACAGTGGCATGATCTCAGCTCAGTGCCACCTCCACCTCCTGGATTCAAGCAGTTCTTCTCCCTCAGCCTCCCGAGTAGCTAGGACTACAGGTACAATCTACCATGCCCGGCTAATTTTTGTATTTTTCATAGAGACAGGGTTTCACCATATTCACCAGGCTGGTCTCAAACTCTTGACCTCGTGATCCGCTTGCCTCGGCCTCCCAAAGTGCTGGGATTACAGACGTAAACCACCATGCCAGGCTGTAATTTTTTGTTGTTGTTTTTTTGTGAGACAGTCTTACTCTGTCACCCAGGCTGAAGTGCAGTGGCATGATCTCAGCTCACTGTAGTCTCCACCTCCTGGGTTCAAGCAATTCCTGTGCCTCAGCCTCCCAAGTAGCCAGGACTATAGACATGTGCCACCATGTCTGACTAGTTTTCGTATTTTTAGTACAGATAGGGTTTCACCATGTTGTCCAGGCTTGTCTTGAACTCCTGACCTCAGGTGATTCAACTGTCTCGACCTCCCAAATTGCTGGGATTATAGGTGTGAGCCACTGCACCCAGCCTATTTCCTTTTTTTGAGAGAGGATCTTGCTGTGTTGCCCAGGCTGGAGTACAATCGCATGAACACAGCTTACTGCAGCCTTGACCTGAGCTCAAGTGATTCTCCTGCCTCAGCCTCCTGAGTAGCTGGGATTACAGGCTCCTGCCATCACACCCCACTAATTTTTATATTTTTAGTAGAGACAGGGGTTTCTCTATGTTGGTCACACTGGTCCCTAACTCCTGACCTCAAATGATTCACCCACCTCGGCCTCCCAAAGTGCTGGGATTACAGGCGTGAGCTACCATGCTGGCCAATTTTTTTTTTTTTTTTTAATCTTTTTGATGTCCTGTTCCGGGCTTAGTGATCTTTAACACTTCCCTATGAAACCAGCAGATCTTAAGATAAAACAAACAAAAAACACTTCCCTAATGTTACAGTAGGCAAAACAGCTGCACCCAGCTGGAATGTGATAACTTCTGTATCTACAAACTTATTTTAATGGATAACTTATATTTGTGCCAAGTGGTCCTGGTTTTCTTTTTACAATAGTGATGGCTGCTTTTTAAAATACATTTGTTGGCTGGGCTTGGTAGCTCATGCCTGTAAACTCAACACTTTAGGAGGCTGAGGTGGGTGGATTGCTTGAGCCCAGTTTTTTTTTTTTGTTTTTTTGAGACAGTTTTGCTCTTCACTCAGGCTGGAGTACAGTGACACTGTCTGGGCTCACTGCAACTTCTGCCTCCCAGGTTCAAGTGATTCTCCTGCCTCAGCCTCCTGAGTAGCTGGGATTACAGGTGACCAGCACCACTTCCAGCTAATTTTTTTGTATTTTTAGTAGAGACAGGGTTTCATCTTGTTGGCCAAACTGGTCTCAAACTCCTGACCTCAGGTGATCTGCCCTCCTTGGCCTCCCAAGTGCTGGGATTACAGCATGAGCCACTGCACCTGGCTGAGCCCAGGGATTTTTTGTTTTGTTTTATTTTGAAGAGTTTCACTCTTGGCACCCAGGCTAGAATGCAGTGGCACGATCTTGGCTCACCGCAACTTCTGCCTCCCAGATTCAAGTGATTCTCCAGTCTCAGCTTCCCAAGTAACTACGATTACAGGCACTCACCAGCATGCCTGGCTAATTTTTGTATTTTTTTTTTTTTTTTTTTGAGACAGAGTTTCGCTCTTGTTACCCAGGCTGGAGTGCAATGGCACGATCTCGGCTCACCGCAACCTCCGCCTCCTGGGGTCAGGCAATTCTCCTGCCCCAGCCTCCTGAGTAGCTGGGATTACAGGCATGTGCCACCATGCCCAGCTAATTTTTTGTATTTTTAGTAGAGACGGGGTTTCACCGTGTTGACCAGGATGGTCTCGATCTCTCAACCTCGTGATCCACCCGCCTCGGCCTCCCAAAGTGCTGGGATTACAGGCTTGAGCCACCACGCCCGGCCCAATTTTTGTATTTTTAGCAGAGACAGGGTTTCACTACGTTGGACAGGCTGGTCTTGAACTCCTGACCTCAGGTGGCCCACCTGCCTTGGTCTCCCAAAGTGCTGGGATTTCAGTAGTGAGCCACCACACCCAGCCAAGCCCAGGAGCTTGAGACTACCCTAGGCAACATGGTGAAACCTCTGTCTCAACCAAAAAAAAAAAAAAAAATTAGCCGGGCATGGTGGCATGTGCCTGTAGTCCCAGCCACTTGGGAGGGTGAGGTGGGAGGATCACTTGAGTCTGGGAGACAGAGGTTGCAGTGAGCAGAGATGGTGCTATTGCACTCCAGCCTGGGCAACAAAGTAAGACCCTGTCTCAAATAAACAAATAAAAGAAATATATTTATTTATATTTTACTTGAGTCAATATACAGGTAAAAATTGTACAAGTAAAACTTGGATGATTCTGAGGTTTGTGAAACATTTAGTTATTTATATTATCACAGGAGCTTTCTACTAAACGGCAAGACCCCTTGTGCCAACCTGCTTAATGAATTTATAGGTAAATCTCTTGAAAACAAGTTCTACTTAATTCCCCAACCTCTTGTCAATAAGAAAGGTAGAAAAGGTCATGTGAAGGGCAGAATTGGTGACCCTGCTTTACTGTGGGTTAAATGTGTCATAATAGTGTACATTGCTGAATATTAATTTCCTGGTCTTTCACCATTTCTGTTTCAAAAATTACCCACTGTAGGGAATGAGGCAGAGCAATATGCTATGTTCTGTATTGTTTAAACTCTACCGATTTTCTCCAAATATTAAGATTGCTTGAGCCCAGGAGTTCAAGCCTGGGTAATATAGTGAGACTCCATCTTTGTGTGTTTGTTGTTGTTGATTTTCTTTTTGGCAGGGGGATGGAGTCCTGTTCTGTCACCCAGGCTGGTGTGCAGTGGTGTGATCTCAGCATACTGCCACCTCTGTCTACCGGGTTCAAGCGATTCTCTCCCCTCAGCCTCTGAAGTAGCTTGGATTACAGGTGCCTACTATTGTTCCTGGCTAATTTTTGTATTTTTAGTAGAGACTGGGTTTTACCATATTAGCCACGCTGGTCTTGAACTCTTGACCTCAGGTGATTTGTCTGCCATGGCCTCCCAAAGTGTTGTGATTACAGGTGTGAGCCACCATGCCCAGCAGAGACCCCATCTTTATTTAAAGCAAAAACAGAAACTAATGTTCTCCAAATCTCCTTTAAGAGAACGTGTATACATTCTCTGTCTAGATGTATCCATGCATGTATTCTATAGATAATCTGTAGGGGCAAAGCATTTTGGATACTTCAGTTTTGTACAGTTTGAACACTTGGATTTGACATAAGATATATTCAATGATTTATAGTTATTTCTATTTTTTAAAAAGACAGAAAAGAGCAAAACACCAAAAAATCACAATTGCAGAAGGAAATGACTTAGTGGAACTGCAAGAAATCATAGTTTTTCCTTTTCATTTTATTCTCTCAAGTAGTTTATATGATTGAAGTAATTCTCTAAGCAATTATTGAAGACTTGCGCTAAGTGCCAGGAATAAGGTAAACAGAAATAAAGATGAAAGGAAGCAGACCTTGCCAACAGAAAGTTTTGTAGTCTTTGTTCTCTAAATCAAAGGAATAATGTTAAAGAGGAAAGAGTTTGAGGCAATGAAAGAGAAGGGGTAGGCTCCTTAGCAATCCAGTGGAAGAATTATCTTTTTGACAGGAAGAGCCACACGGTACCCTTCAAATGCTTAATTAATTGACAAGTCAGTTACTGAATTTCTAGGAAGTGCTAGGCATTACATTAGGTACTAGGGATTCACATCTAAATACAATGTCTGTGCCTTCCAAGCACTCACCACCTATTAATAAAGACAGATACAGACTGGGCACAGTAGCTCATACCTGTAATTCCAACACTTTGAGAGGCCAAGGTGGGTCTATCGCTTGAGCCCAGGAATTTGAGACTGGCCTGGGCAATACGGCGAAACCCTGTCTTTACATAATATATACAACTAAGCCAGGGTGTGCTGGTGTGCACCTGTGGACCCAGCTACTCTGGAGGCTGAGTTGGGAGGATCACTTGAGTCTGGAAGGCAGAGGTTGCAGTGAGCTGAGATCATGCCATGCACTCCAGCCAGGGCAATACAGTGAGACTCTGTTTCAAAAAAAAAGAAAAGAAAGAAAAACCAAAAAGGTTGGACGCAGTGGCTCACACCTGTAATCCCAGCACTTTGGGAGGCCAAGGCAGGTGGATCACAGGGTTAGGAGTTCAAGACCAGCCTGGCCAATGTGTTGAAACCCTGTCTCCACTAAAGATAGAAAAAAATAGCCAGGTGTGGTAGCACGCACCTGTAATCCCAGCTACTCGGGAGGCTGAGGCAGGAGAATCGCTTGAACCTGGGAGGTGAAGGTTGCAGTGAGCTGAGATTGTACCATTGTATTCCAGCCTGGGCAACAGAGTGAGGCTCTATCTCAAAAAAAAAA